GTTGTTGTTGTTGTTGTGGATTCATTTTATGGACGTCCCTAGGGCATCCCATGCATGACCTGAATCATTAATCCAAACGAATATTGAATTTCCAAGGTTTATCTTTTCAGGAGTCCTGGACCGTTACCTCCCATCGCCACATATGACCCTGGGACTAGTTTCGCAAAGCTGGCAAAAGGCCGCTTGCTAAGATTATGTTTTATTCGGGCCGCGTAATTCTGAGAGAGGCACCCATTTCTGAGAAACATGCATGTCTTTATGCATATATGATATGTTTATGCGTTAGGTGTATGGTGAGTACATTGATTGGAGCCGGCGCGCCATTGAGGGGGAAGACCACTCTATCAATCAAACCAGAAGAGTCCGAAAAGGTCCTGGTGCTGAACAGGCTCTAAATGGGCTTGTTCTGGGTTGGATTGAACGGAAGAAAGAAAGGATCATGCAGCTTGGGGCTCCCTTTGTTTTGACACACCAACCTTGGATGCCGGCCCGTAGGGCAGCCAATGGCGCTGGGCTTTGCGCCTCGGCTGTCGACAGCTGGACGGCTTCGGCTGCTGCAGCGTGGTGAGCGCGTACGAGAAGGCCGCCAGGCGCCTGGGTTACACATCCGGGTCTAAGTTCCTCTGGTGGCTCTTGGGAGGTGTCCATTTTTTCTTGGGAATCCTTCACTTTGGAGGGAACTATCGGCAAAAAATTGGTTGGGTTCGACTCCCAGTTTCTTTGAAGCCAAATGGGGGCTTTTAGGGTCCAAGCCAAGCCCTTGGGGGTCAGGTGATTTGTCGCCAATCGCCCAGGTGGCGGCTGGCACTGCAGGCCCTCAAGGCCTGGCTCCCGCCCAAGGCTCCCAGCCGGGTGGTGGCCTACAATGGCGCCATCAGCGCTTGTGAGAAGGAGGGGCTAAATCGTGCGGATATGTGCCAACATAGGGGAACCTCAAAAATGGGTAGGTGTTCCTATGTTGGTGCCCCTTTAAACCAGCAGAAATGGTACCCTCAGTGGCTGTGGTCATGGTCACAGCCGACGTGGTTGCTGGGAAACCAAGGGCAGCTTTGGGGCCGGACAAACAGGGTCCCCATCCATTTCAAAATCAACATAGAACATGGGTGCTTGCTCGGATCCACGGCCCCAAGCGTGTCCTGCATTGTACGTATGGGGGAGGGGCCTTGTTTGCATTTGGCAGTATTGTTTGCTGAGGGGTAGCCGTTTGGAGTGGTCGTGGTTTTAAAGGCACACCGAGGAAACACCACCATTTGGATACAAGTTAAGCATGACGAACAACATCAAGCAAACTCCTGCTTCTTAATAGTGGAAGTCAACCACTGAAATCCCGCTTGTGAATCGCGGGGCGTAGTTTTCTCGGAATTTATCACCCTGGTTGGAATCTTTGTTTGAAGAGAAGCCGAAAGGCAAAGGGCATCCCCTGCTTGTGTTGTTGCTTTTGAGGAAGTGGTTTGAGACACTCCCAAATGGGCACCCCTTATTTCTCGTTTCAAAATGGATATCACCCATTTGGTGTTGTCTCATTTTGAGGGCGATGTTTAAGCAGGGTTGCTCCGCGCCTCTAATCTAGAAGGTTATCAACACGAATAGGTTTGGCTTCCCTTGATTACCGTTTGTCGGGGGTTATTATCCTTGTGCCAGCCTTTCCAGCCCAACCCTGTTGAAGGGGCCCTATATGGAACACTTCGCATAGCTGTGTACTTGTTTGAGAGTGCACGGTAATCCTGTTTAGGGTTCGTGTTGCGGGGCTTGGAAACAAAGCCACGCTTTTTGGTCTCCAATCAGTGGTTTGATTCTTGTAGATGGGTGCTGGTGAGCTGTCGTTTAAATGAGGCTAGCCGTTTTGGGTGTGTCACCCCACTGCTCCGACGCTACCGCCCGTCGGTCCCAGACAGTAGGCATCACCTTCCAGATCCTTTAAGCTATGCACTTTGCAATTCCAGCCAAATTTGCCGGCACTGCGAATCAACCTCAGTCAGGTCAAGCGGGTATCATGCACATGAACCCACCATGGGATGTGTGAAGAAATTTGCCATGACTAAGCCATACGTAGCGCGCCAACAGGGCCACACGTTCCATCCAAACGGACGCTGGCACCACCCAGTTTCAAGCACACTTGTCCTGTGCTTTTTTTGTCTATGTTGGTCTTCCCAAGGTGTGTTTGGGCGGTTGCCGCTCTATTTCCGCCCGCAAGGCCGCAAGGTGGGCTTGGTCCTTGTGGCTCCTTGGCGCGCTCGCGAGCGGCGACGGGCAGGCCGGGGTTGGTGGCCGGGGAATGCAAAGACATGTGGAAGTTTCTCAATGTGGTGGACCTCCTTTTGCGCTTTTGGTGGGTAGTGAAAGGACGGACACCAACAGTTTTTGGAGATCCATATTTTGAGAAATCTCCATGTACTGACGGTTCCCTGTCTGGGAAAAGCGAGGCCTGCCTGGAAAAGTGCATTCCTCGAGAAGGGAATCGCTTCAACCTCATGTGGACTCCCGGGGCCCATGCCCAGCACATGAACCTTGGTCTTAGGGCTACATTTCGGTTGCCAAAGTGGGGATACAAACTGAACAGAACCATGTTTCACTGTGCTCAACAATGTTAACCCGTAGGGAACTCGCACAGGCCACCCCTTTTGTTTCCAAGCCGAGTGCTTGGGGGAGTGAGCCAATGAGAATCTTTGAGCGGATATTTCCCTGAAAAAATCCGCAATCCGTTTTGCCTTCTCTTTTGGCATTTCTGCTTGTTTTGAGAAGATCTGTTTGGTCCAGGGGTTGATTATTCAACTCCATTCGGATGTGTCTCAACATTGGGACCTCTCCATTTGCCGCTTGCGGTTGGGTTCATCTCAAACACACGGTTTTCAATGGAGGTGTTGTGTCCCTGGCCTTTTTGATTGATCGAATTGAATGGTTTCCTTTTGGTTTTTCCCAAGCAATTGTGAAGCGGTCTTCAACCACGAGGAAGGACAGGGCTTTCCAATAAAGGGTTGCTTCAACGCTTATTTTCAATTTCCCTTGACCCCCTCACGTTCTTTTGGCTTCTCCTTTTGGTTGTCTGCGGGGTGAGGGTTGCACCGACCCCTTGATTAAACATGTTCGAATCAGCACTCTAAGCAACCTTCTTTTGCTTGCTCTTTGGACGGGACTAGGGGTAGGTGGATTCAACAGCAAGTTGACCAGCGCCCAAAATCAACAATTCAATATGTGTGGTTTCACTACTTGGAGCCAAGCCTGTATAAACCTGTACAACCATCTTGACCGAGCCGCAGCTCAACGGGTTTTAGGCGCTGAGGCCGAACCATGTCGCCAGGTCACCGCCATCAGCCTCCACGGCGCCTGCAGCGCCTGCAAAAGGGCTTGGCGCTGGAGCGAGGCTACAGCTTTGCTGGAGATCACCAGGCGGGGGTGTGGGGGTTGCGGGGAAAGGGCTTGGCCGCTGAGTGGTTTCCAGCATTCGCTGTCATGGGGTTTACCTTGAAGGGTCAGAAGGCTTGGACAATTGCAGGATTTGCCTTCGACGCCCCGCAAGCAGCAAACACACAACCCTTTATATAAAAGGACTCCAGCAGGACGTGGTTAGGGCAGGTTTAGGGCAGAATTTGCGGTGTGGCCGATCATGACCGGGTTCGCCTTTGACTTCTTGCCTGGGCAGGCAAAGAAACCTCAGCAAAGAGGCTTCAGGGTAGGTTTTCTTTTCTTCTTCTTTTTTTTTCCGGACAGGTCCTGCACTTCTTTAGGAGTTCTTTTGATTTTCAACACCAAAATGAGGCTTGAGAGTGAGGCAGCGTGTCTTTCGTCGCACTTTTTGCAGTTGTCAAGGTTTGGGGACCAGATTTGTATCGAAAGGGGTTTCCTGGTTGCTTGCCCCGAGGTCAACGTTTGACGCAGACCCTGCCATATGCGATGCCGCAGTGGCTGCATGCGAGGCTGCGGGCGAATTCGGGCCTGCGCACTCCGTTCTCAGCAGAATGGACACGCCAGCCCTCTTGCGACAGCTGCGGCAGGAAAAAGAAATATGTTTTCGGGTGGGCCCAAATTCAGTATAAGTTATTTTCCCAGAGTACGTCCACGGTATTGTCAACCGGTTGATGAATGAATGTAGGGATAGGTAAATTCAAAAGCGCATGATATACACTGACACCCAACATTCATAGTGCTCGGCGGCACACACACACACACACGCACACACATATATATATATATATATATATGCAACCATTGGTGAAGGGCCCCTACACAGACTATTATCATTAGATGTCCTTTTATGGGGTCCCTACAGTTGGGGGACACCCTGCTCCTAACCAGGGCAATGGCTGCGCCTAGGGCCGTTAAGCAGGTTATGCCGGGGTCGGGTGCGGAATAAGGGACCCTTCCACATACGTTTTCCCGGTGAGGTCTGAACTGCTGAACCCACCGGGCCTAGGTGGCTCAATTCTTATGAGAAGCAGAAAATCCCTATGCTTCTCTGATGCGCAGCTGAACCGAACCCGCTGGGCGTTGCTCCAAGTTCTGGGCACCCATGTATGAGCCTGGCCTGAGATAAACCCTGCATGGGTGGGTCATTTGCGGGGGGTGCCCCTGTGTCCTTTTTTTTACAAACACCTTGCTGACCTTGTTCACGTTGATGGGGTGGGGGTTTCTTTATCCAGGTCAGCTTTACAGTTGCCAATCCATCCACCCCCGCCCCACCCACTCACCGAGTTCTGGGCATCGTGGCGGCGGCGGACATGCCCACGGGAGCAGCGCCGGCACCGCCGGCGCCCAGCCCCTGGCCGGGGACTCGGGAACCGGAGGTCGTCGCCAGGGCCTGTGGCTCCTGGGAGGAGGTGATGTCGACATTTCGCTTGTTACATAGGGCATAAGGGTCAGTAAGGCTTGCCAGAGCCAGCATATTCTATAGTTGTTTGGTAGGGAGAAAGCTGAGGTACGAGGTGTTCAGTGAAAACCCCCGCTTCGGATTTGTAAGGCGTCACTCTTTGGGCGCTTTTGTCAGTGCAAAATCTCAAAAAGTTATTTTCCCGGAGGGGGGCGGGGGCAAGGATGGGGAATAAAGTGTTGTTTTGCTTTTTCATGTTGGTTGCCATTGTTTATTTTGTAGAATCTATGGATCTCCCAAATGTAACGTTGTTGTGTTGTCAATGAATCATTGGCCACACACCCAGCCATTCAGCGGGTTCACACATGATGAATTTGCATGCACGCTTTTCTCTGCCGAAGCCGTTTAAGCCAGGAGTCGGTTACTGGTTGAGACCCCAGCCAATCTCAACTTGCATTGGTTGGAACAGGCGAAGCCCCACATACAGCCATTGAATGATCAACTTGGAAAGCTCTATTTATGATCGGTTCAAGTACTCATGTTGCAATGCACACAGGACACCCGCAGTTAATTGTTTCATTGCTTTGGGGCTGAGATCGACCATGGAATTGTCAATCAGGAATTGTCCAACAACACGTTGGCGTCATGCTCAATACTTCCAATGGAGCCAAACATGTATACTTGACAGCATGGTTCCAGCGCTTGGACACATTTGCATTGCTTGCCTCCGTTTGCATCATAGCCTGCATTTTTCCTGCTTTGGCGGTTTCTGAGGGCTAGGGTGAAATTGCAGGTGGGAGGGCGCCGGAGATTCTATCGGCGACGCGTGGAACCAGTTCACCAGCGGGGACTGCTCGTCTCGCCGCCCGGTCGGCTTCGTTGCCTTGTTACATGGCTATGTTGCAACAAATCAAGGAGAAACGAGCAAAAGCGTATCAATCAATCACGTTTTAATCGGGTGAGGAGTCAGACATAAAGTAACTAGCATTATGAGGCAAATTCGCTCGTCGCGTAGGCAATTTAGGTACAGAGTTTGCGTGGCCTGAATTGACCCCACACCATGCGTGTCAGGTGGTAGGCTCCTTGTGCAGGGCCCAGTCCCTATTTCATTTGAAACCAACCAACCAAGAAGTGGAATGCGTTTATTTTCCAAAGACGTGGCAAGGAAGAAGTCTAAAGGGTGTTTTGCTTCCGGCGGTTTCACTCGAAATCGCCTTCTTTGGCACTGACATGACAGGCTTCCCTTTGGGTTTGTCTTTTATCCCAAAGGAGGGCAGCCAAGCGCATCTCTCCCCAAAGGTTTTGGCCAGGATGCCGCAGTTGGCGGCGCCCAGCAGCTGCTTGCGAGCTGTGGCCTTGTGGCAGGCGCAGCTTGGGGCTTTGGCTGGTTGAAGGTAAAGGAAATTAAACTCACGTGCGGCTTGTGAAAAGGAACATTAACGTGGTTCGTCGACTCTTGGAACCTCGGTTTGCCCGTGGAACTTCTCCCTTCTGTGAAGAATGAAAATGGCCCGCCCCCCCCCGGTTGAACCTAAGGCTGGCTGCAGATTTCGTAACACCTGTCCCTCCAGACGGGGGGTTCCCCGACAAGATGACATCATGTTTCTGTTTGATCTCACCAAACACGTGGTAAGCACCCCGCCCAAGTGATCCCACCC